CCGTTCTCAACGACGCTCGATTAATTAACCGTGATCAGTACGATCGTAAATATTTCACGATCGAGATCGATCAGGTCCTCGACCGTGACTGGGATCTTCTCGTTCCTACGATTCTTCGATGCTGCGTGTAATATCTTCTGTTCGGAATTCAATCGAAGAACAGCGTTTCTCTCGATACTTGAGAGTAAGTAGGATCAGGTATAACGAAATGGAAGATCGCCGAGTAATTTAACGGAATAATTTTTGTTCCTTAACGTAGGAAGATATAGAATAGGTAGATGTATAGGAGGTATTGTTAGGGACGTTGTGTTACAATGGTTTCAGCTTCCACAATATTGTACGTCGTACCACGGGAAGTATTGACATTTCGTGCTTTGCTGTGGTACCGGCTAAATATAGTTGCTCTACGGAATAATCGTTAACGAGTTGCACTGCTGCTCCACCGGCCGTATTTTTCTCTTCTCTCGTTTTTTCTTTTTACCACTGATCACCCCCTCTATGTCAATCATCCCCCGACAATACAGAAATACACAAAAGACTTCTTTGTGTCGTCCTGTCATTCCGCTAAACACATTGGCGAGATACAAACAGCCGGTGCAACGGGAAAACACAAGTTGCACATGTCTTGAAACACCGAGAGGGGAGAGAAAAATGGAACGTTGGATTAATCGGGAGAACGACGATCCCCGAAACCGATCGCTGGTAAATTCACGGTAAATTCAGCATGTTCGGCGAACACCGAGGTATCGCCTCTTGGTTTATCCAGTGTGTGCATTGCGACGTGACCTTAATGGAGCCCTGGAAACGCAGCTGCACCAGCCGACCACTAATTTGAGGTCTTTGTTAACGCAAGCGAGAAGCTCGTGCGTTGAGTAGCTCCTCTGGAACGGAATGAAAATCGACCTTTCAGGGGATGAAATCCTCCCTCCAGGTGAACACGGAGGGAAACAGAGAGAGAGATAGAGATAGAATCCACGTTTTGATACGAAGTTCAACTAGCTGTAGATGCGGTCGAGCAACGCTCATAAGCAATGAACCGTGTTCTGAATAGGCTGGAATTTTTTTTTTTTTTCACGAAAAATCTTAATTAGGACACACCGTGTATTTTTGCCGTTGTGGCAGCGGAGCTCTCTCGGAGAACTCTTGCCCCCGGAAGGAGTTTCGTGGAAAATTCGTGGTTCGTTGAGATTTGCCAGCAACATGGGCTTAATTAAGGCAATCCAGCTGGCAGCATGTGGTTCGAGCTTTTGCCGCGATTACGTTATACGCGTCCGGTGTTTTTACTTCTGTGATATTTAACGGTGAAATATTTACAAAGTGTTGGTTCGCGAGCTTTACGCCGGGAAATGTCGAGCAACACCGCTCGCTCTAATTGTAGAAACCTCGTGCTTCGTGCTTTGCTGATTTTACGGCGAACGTGATGCGTTTACGTGTACGCAATTTTTTTCGGCACAGAGGATGGTAGTAAAAATGAGAGAAAAGTATTTGGCGTCGAGTGTCGTTGGGTAGAATTTAGTTTCACTCATTTGCTGTTTATTTAGGGGTTTCAAGTGTTTTAATCGACGTTAAATATTTTATTTTGTAATTAAGGCTTATACCGTTAAAAGACACCTAATTCAGTCTTTTTTAATTTGCCTTTACAGTGACCTGAGATAGTATCTATCGAAAGAATGCTAGTATATCCTAACACTCTCGAAAAGCTCTTACAAAAAGGAGCAAATAATTAAGTTAGACGTCGTTTGTAGCGATAAATTCAATTATGGACGTGGTACACGGTGACACGAGGCAGTATCGACGATCTCGAATCCACGTTAGGCGACACCAGAGTGTCCGGAACATTCAACCCAATTCCAACAATACTATCTGCCCGTAGAACCCGATTACCGACAACTCACTGGTCAGACACGAACCAATACCCTGAATTCCCCGATCGTGACGCTGGAATTCCAACGATCTCCTGCTCGCCGAACTTCATTTCGGCCATTCTCCACACGCAAAATTCGATTCGGAGGATTTTTCCTCCCCCAGCTCGATTTTCGCGATTTTACGATCTTAGAATTGCACGTAGAATTTCTAATTTAATTTTCCGTTTCAGTTGTAAAACTGAGAATTACCAAATGCGATTGATCTACAACGCGTTAGTTTTTCTTACCTGACGCAGTACCACATCCTTGAACGCACAATTAGCAAAAGTATCATATATTAAGAAGTTAATTCTACGAAATCTACCATTCCGAAAATGTCATCTTCTCAGCAATACAATACATTGCTTTTTCTCACCTAATACCGAACAGCAAAACAGCAAATATTAGGTCATCCCATAAGTTCGTGCCGAAAGCGATCAAATATTTTAACGAAAATCCAAGGAAATCCTATCTTACCAAAAACAAAAGTAAGGCGAATGAGAAGGCGTTTACGTTTTTTCCCCCCTGAAATTTAAAGGTTCCTTAGAAATATCGATTCAACTTATCAAATTTGATACTAATATCTGACGCCTAAACGCACAGTTATGAAAAACCTATCCCAACTCGGGCAATTAATTCAAGAAACTCCACCGTTCCAAGAATACCGTCTTTTCGCGAGTATCGCCTCGTGTCATCTCCACCATCCACTCTCTAAGTATGCAAACGACAACATACCTGAGCCGCACGAGTACACCGAGATGGTATCGTAACCGTGGTCTACCGGTCGTGACGCAACAAATCTCTCTCAGGCAACTAGAATCCGCCGCGAGTTATAGCGGAACAGGCCTGAAGAGGCTGTGCAACATCACCGTAAGACGCGATTCGTTTCCGCGTAACGTGGAAGAGGATCTCTTCGAGACGCAACGCGACACGTGTTCGCGACTGCTCGTCAATTTTCACGAGTCTCTCCATCCTCGGATCTTCTCGCAAGATGCTCGAGTCGAATATCTGAACGGGAGGTCCTTAATTAACGCGGTAATTTCGCCGCGTGCCTACGGATTCTGTCGCGTGCGATTTCCGCACACGCTCTCCACGCTGTTCGAGAGGACGTGCGGCGTGTGTGTGGAGCAATTTCCGAGACACAGGTTTGTTCCTGCGGTGATTGGCGCGGCTGGGAACTTTTTCAAGTGGGACACTCGAGTAGTTTGTACTTAAGTGCAATTTGACGTTTCGGCGATTTTTTCGCCAAGTGGTTGGAAATGTCTCTCGAGATTTTTTTACGGAGATGAATTAACCCTTTGCACTCGCGGGTGATTTTGCTGTAGGAAAGGTTGCAGATTGGAAGCTCTTGGAAAATTTTTCAAACTAACTTAGAAATAGACTGTACTATTTTATTCAGATATTCGATGTATTCTCTATTTGATAGTGGTGAACAAATTTATGGAGATTCGCAGATTTGCTGTCTGTCTTGATTAATTAGTTAATGTCGCTGCTCAGTCGCCGCTCGATTGCAGAGGGTTAACGTTGAGTATATAGCAGATTCTAATATCGTCAAGTTGAAGTTTGATAAAATTAATGGAACGGTGATAGCGATTTGTCGACAAAATTGCATATTCAAAGTGTTGAATTATTATGAGAAATGAATGAGTGTACGGCAGCAAAAATGATCATACTGAGACAGGTTAATACAAACATATATAGAAGAATGACATAGCGACTGTTTTCTTTTTTTTTATCATATTTATCACAGTGTAGTGACGTGCCCTCCTCCCTCGAAAATAGAGAATAGTTTTATAATTGAAACAGCACATTTTAATTTATTGCCCAAATCCAATACAAAGTTCTGGACTAACGTCATAAGGCTTTAACAAAAAATTATTCTAAATTAAAATTGTCAGGGAAATGACAACCAGTATTCTGTGAAACATCGCTTAATTACTGTAAGAACATTCGTTACCTCGATTAGTTTGCTTGTTGTTACATCTTGTCTCTATACGTCATTTCCCCGTTCGTTACGCCAATTACATTGGATCTGGCTTGCATCGATACAATTCGTCGCAGCACAAACACGGAATATTGACAAATGAGCCGCTGCTACGTGTGACGGCCCTTAAAATCACGTCGCTGCCGCCTGTACGATGCCTTGACCAGGAAGAGAAACACGGTTCCGTTCGCCAATTGTTTCGTATTCGCCCGTGGGAATTCACGATTAACCGTGGAATACTCACGTTAATTTTCTTTTTATCTCGATGTTAACACGAGACACGCTGTACTCTGTGTAATTTTCTTTTCTTCGCTAATTTTGTTAAGATTGAAATTTGTAAAAATTGTTCATTTTTGGAGTATTATACATAGGGATTGGACGTGTTTCGTTAGAAAGGACGAGTTTACTTTAACATGCACGGCTTGTTCTTCCAACGTGGTGACTTTAATTAAAACACTACGAGGCGCAGGGCAATTAATGACCGGAGACGTAGTTGAAGAGTCCGATACTACGTAGGCCACGTAATGAAAAAACTTTAACCCCTTGGCTCGAAGGGATGGAACGAGCTGCTCGAAGAATTATTCGCAAGGAGACACTGTCTTCGTAGAAAAAAATTGAGAGAGGATGTCTCTTTGTAACGAAGTAAAAATTGATACTTATTAATCCCTTTAATCCCATTAGAAGAATGAAATATAAACATCTAGAAAAATCTGGTGACCATAAATTTTTCAACGAAACCTCGAATCCTCTTACTTCTGTGACGTTTTTAACAGTACATGGGAGTTTTATTTAAGGAGCAAAAGGGTTAAAAATTTCATTTAAATATCTCGACAAATTTGGTAATGAGAAATTCTCCTGTGATATTTTTAACAATACAATTGCATCTCGCATTAAAAATCTTATCTATAAAAAATTTCATTTAAATACCGAAAAAATGTGACCATGAACAGGATAGAAATTATCGTCAACTCTATCTCTGACGTTGGTTTTCAAACCTAGACCTCGTGAGCTTGAGTGCAAGATGATCGAGATTAATGAATGAAAATTAGGTTGAATTGGTGTAAATTCCACGAGCGTGGGTAATTAAGCAACATTCTTGCTCGCTGTTTCAGAGAGGTACGTACCGTCGTGCTCAACAAGGGTTCCTCCGGTCTGGGTTTCAACATCGTCGGTGGCGAAGATGGCGAGGGAATTTTCATTTCCTTCATCCTAGCCGGAGGTCCGGCAGATCTCAGCGGTGAGCTACGTCGCGGTGATCAGATACTCAGTGTCAATGGATTTAACCTTCGGACAGCCACCCATGAAGAGGCCGCCGCGGCCCTTAAGGTATCTTTCGAGGATCCTGTTACCTCCGATTTCTCGAGTGTTTCCAGACCACACTTGGTTATTCTACTGCACTCGAGGAGCAGTTTGAAAAATTCGACGATTAAAATTCTCGCCAAGTTTCTACTACGTATAAGTAAAGACCGTTGAACGAGCACCCCGGAGTCTATTTAAAGATTGTTCTTGGTAATTCAGGGCACCGGGCAAACAGTGACGATCACGGTACAGTACAAGCCCGAAGATTACAACAGATTCGAGGCCAAGATCCATGATCTTAAACAACAGATCTCCCAGCAGAATATGATGACAGGCACCCTCATGAGGACCTCGCAGAAGAAATCACTTTACGTTAGGTAAAATAGTTATTACAAAGGTATTGTTATCCTTACGTCGACGTGGACGAGGAAAGGAAGGGAGAGTTTCTATTTAAATTTCTACGGTAATAGTGCACAGCAACTGTCTTCCTCTTCCAAATTTATTGATGATAAATTCTTTATTCGCGAGTCATTCGCAAAGTGATCGCTCAAGTGATCACTCGAGTGTTGAAAAGCTTGAGAATTTTTTCGTATTAACTTAAAATTCATACTATCCTTGGTACGTTACTGTTGGGGAATCTAAAGATAATTCTCCTCCTGAAAAATTCGACATTTCATTCCACGCGACCTAATATTATACAAACGATGTGATCCATAAGGGAAGAGACAGAAATTGGAAATGAAACAAAGATTAGGCTATCCTTGGTAAGTTACTGTTGAGGAATCTAAGGATAATTCTCCCCCATCTTCATTCCTTCCTGAAAAATTCGACAAGGGAAGAGATAGAGATTGGAAACGAGAGAACCTCGAGGATAACGTAAAAAACTGTCCATTCACTTCCATAGAGCGTTGTTCGACTACGATCCTAACAAGGACGACGGGCTGCCGAGCCGCGGTTTGGCGTTCCGTTTCGGTGAAATCCTACACGTGACGAATGCCAGCGACGACGAATGGTGGCAGGCAAGAAGAGTAACTCCTCAGGGTGAGGAGGAAGGCCTCGGCATAATACCGTCTCGCAAACGATGGGAACGGAAGCAGCGTGCCAGGGATCGTTCCGTCAAGTTCCAAGGCCACATGCCGGTCATCCTCGACAAGGTGAGCTCGATCGACCGGTTGTTCCGTGATATCAAGAAGAAGGACGAGCTTCGAGATCTCAATTGCACAGTGGAATCCGGAAGCTCGAGCATAGATCATATTTATCATTCAGAGCTTTCTTTACAAATATTTCCTTTTGTAGCAAAAGATTGCAAAATCGACGAAATTTATGCAATTGTCGTTTAGAAACTTTTATTCAAAAAATTTAAAAACTTGTTTGACCCCAATCACGAATGACCCTTAAAATGATATATGTAATTGGGTATTTTATTTTCCTTTTCTAACAGAAGACTGCAAAATTGGTGAAATTTATGCAATTGTCGTTCAGAAATTTTTATTGAAAAAATGGTTTGATCCCAATCACGAATGACCCTTAAAATGATATATATAATTGGGTATTTTAATTTCCTAAAATTTCTAGAGAAATTTATAAAATTGTCATTTTGCCATAAAAGTGCAAAAGAAATTTGCCATAGTCACGAACGACCGCGTAAAAGTAAGCGTAAATTTCGGTTTCTCTACAGCAATCGACAGTTCGGACCAGGAACGTGAGTGTCTTGAAACATGGCCAAACTCGTATCCTGCACGTTCTGTGCATGTTCAGACCCGTATATTATACTATTGTGGTTTTTTACGTGACTATTTTTTTCATTCTCGTCGTATTTCTCAGTCACTATACGTATATATCGATATATTTATGTATTTACATAGACCGTGTGTTTGAACTGACAATTAGTATTTTTTTTTCACGTGTGTCTTGAAAATCCCCCCCCTTTTTTTATTGCAACAATCTTTCTACCGTACCGATCTTATTTTTGTATTTTTCTTTCAATTATATCCCCGGATTCGAGGTTGACGATCCTAGCAGAAAAGGAATGACACGATGTCCTTTGGATGTTCGTAACCCTTTATAGACCTGATTTGTTTTCAACCCTTTCGTTTGAA